CCGATCTTGTGAGAAGTATTGGGTATTGTTGGGAATTTTACACAGAACTTAATGCAACTTTTCTGATTTTAATTAAGAGCTTGTTTAATTGAACAAAAGAAAGTTAGGGTTAATTCAAAGAGTTTGTTTCGGTTAACTAATTAAGGTAAAAGAGATTATACTAGAGCTTGTTAGTTTTTCTCAGTACCAGCTTAGATAGAACGCATTTTGAATAACCAGATCTGAACTAATTGCATGATTAAGAAAGTCGCAGCAGAACTGAAATCGTTTTTATTATTGATTTTCGTTTAATTTAATATCAATGCATTTTTAGTTTTTAGTTTTAATCAAAATCCCCCTTCTTAATAATTTATGTTTTGATTAGAATGTGTCTGATGCAACAAGACACTGACTTTCAGAAGTGGTTTTTTGATAAAATCAAACAACACCTTAAGTTCGTATCATCATCATTGATCCACGTAAATTTCCTTCTGCCAAAGAGAAAATTCAAAAAGTGTTAATTCCCTAATGAACGAATTAAAGTCCTCCATACTTGAATCACAACCATAATTCGAAAACCTTTCATGTCTAAATCTAATCTCGTTAAAATTACCCATTAGAAGCCAACAACCACTTAAAGATAAAACAAGATTCCTTAGTGCATTCCAAAGAATTGCACGATTCTCATTATCAATAGGAGCATATACGTTAACCAGGTTTGTAATACCCTCCATACCAATCCAGAGACAATAATAAAATTAGAATTTTTTATGATGTTCACCTGCTTAAAAATATATCAGAGTTCCAGACACAAAATAAGCCTCGAGATCTACCTTGCGATTTCACCAACACGTAATCAAAATTAGAGTTGTCCCAATACCTATCGATAGGAATATTGTCCCCAACCTCCTCCAATTGAGTCTCCTGAGCACTTATAAATTAATATTATGCAATAACTTAATATCCCTGATCCAATCAGCTTTATGTAGTCCTCCAACACCTCTAAGATTTATAGATAGGCAATTTATTGATTCAAAATTTTAACACCCTCACCTTCAATAATCGACCTGAGAGCCTCTGAGAGCC